AGTGCTTTCCAGACACAGAGTTGGGGGTCCTGCAGCCCCTCATAGGACAATCAGGGAAGAATGAAAACTCCTCCTACAAGCTTTAACTAGTGCTCTGCTGGACAGTGATAGAAGTTACAAGACTGCTCTAACTGCTGATGAGAAAAGGTATTTAGCAATCTATATTTACTAAAATAATTGCATGTCCATGTTCTGTGTACTGTGGGAGACCTGATATAGCGAATGCAGGGTCATAGGTTTAGTAACACTTTAAAGTAAAGTTTGGAATGAGAGAAGTACATATACCATTTTTAAAGCAGCATCAGGAGACAGAAAATCAAAAAGCGCAAAGATTTTTTTTTTTTATTTAAAAAATACAACTATCAAACTGAGTAGAGCTGCAGTAATTTGTGTATTTTATATCTGCTCACAGTTCAGCTTCAAAAGAAGATGTATCATGCCATACAGGGGCTGCTGCTATCACTAACCTATAAAATACTAGCTGACTGGCAGAATTTCTTAAATCGCTGATATTTAGGCATCCAGCTAGTGAAGGTAGAGGTCCAGAATTGAATACTTATGCGGGGTATTTAAAAGCAATATTTAATAAATATAATTGAGTTTTAAAAGACACTGAATATCGCAATACACTTGTTCTTGGTCTAGGTAGTTTTTTTTTTTTTTTTTTTTTAGGTACAGCTACCCTAAGCCTTAAAATGTTTTAAAGTAAAACTTTTGTTTTATTTTTAGAGTTAAAAAAATAGAACCCAGTTAGGTTTTAATTGTTAAAACCTAGTTCCAGTGAGGGCCTTTCCCTCACTTTGGAAAGATGTTCTCAGACCTTCTGTTACATCAATGGGGGTTATTTACTAAAACTGGAGAGTGCAAAAGCTGGTGCAGCTCTGCATAACAAATAATCATCCAAGTTTTATTGTCAAAACTTATTTGAACAAGCTGAAAGCTGATTGGCTACCATGCACAGCTGCACCAGTTTTAGTAAATTTGCCCTATAGGACAAGAAGTATAGAGAAACTATCCCTGATGGGACATAGATGGCAAAAAAAAAAAAAAAAAATTACAGGGGTTTTGATAATCCCCTTTACTATCCCCCAAAATCTAGCTTTAGATTTACTTTAACCCTAGGTTCACACCTAAGTGTTTTCCTAGCGTTTTGCAGAAACGCACTGCAGTCCATTTAACAAGATTTCTTATGGGACAGGTTCACATCTCCGTGTTTTTACCCGGTGCATTTTTGGAAGGAGTCAGGGCCTTTTTAAATGCAAAAAGTTGCGTTTTTGGTTCTATAGACTTCAATGGAAATGCTGCAGAAAAGCATGTAGTGCGTTTTTGCATCTGCTTAGCAACAAGAAAAAAAAAAAAAAAAAGCATCAAAAACCGCTTGTGCAAAAACTCAAAGCAGAAACGGATCAAAACGCAAACTGCATAGGTGTGAACCCAGACTTATGACTGTAAAATATCTGGCACTGCTGCACTAAAATGCAGACATGCATTTCATTGCAGTGCACCATGCCGAATTGCACAGCAATGTATGGCAGCACATTGCATTGCGGTACATTAGCACGAATGAAGTGTACAATTTGTACACTTCACATAAAGTGTGTACAAAAAAAAAAAAAAGGGAGCAGCGTTAAGCACATTGCCCCCTACCACAGGTGGAAATGGAGAGCTGCCGGAGTGGTAAAACACTCAGGCAGCTCTGTGTTCCCTTGTAAACACAGCCTAAAAAAATGTACTAATTTGGTTCAGAGTACTGTCCTCTGCTTTGCTGACCTTTGCTTTCCAAGTCCCAGTGCTGCTGTACAGAATATTGCATGGGGATGAGGAATGTACACTGGTTGCATTACAAAAAAAAAAACACATTACGTTTTAATGATTACACATTTGATTTTAAATTGTATATTTTTATAGTTGGTTGTAGGTGAGATTTAAGTTTGTCTCCCAAAAACGAAGCTGCTGATTATGAGTATTAAGTACAGGCACCTAATAGCAGCTTTCAGTCTCCCTGCTCAATCCAAATGTCAAGCCATTGGAGCTTTTCTACCCCTTCCAACATCACTATTAGCCAGTGAGGCAGCCCATCAACGTGATGGATCAAATTTCCAAAGTGCAGATTGATTTTTAAATATGTCAGTGGGTTTTAAAGCTTAGAATGTGTTCAAGACCATACAGGAATAAATATAGGCTGCCGTGCCCACGCACACGTGGGCTTCACAACCTGCTCAAGTGTGAACCTAGGCTTAAGCTGCAAGGGTTCCTAAATGTAAAACAATGAATAACTGTCAATATACATACCATAAATAAGCAAAACAGTGCTACAAAATTACTGCAGGATGTTTACCAAATTTAAGTAATTTTGAAACATATGAAAAAATTCACACAAAAATACATAGATTCATTATGTTTTATTAAAAGAAGTTAAATTACTCGATGATCAAACTTTTAATAGTAACACATAAAAATACTGCATATGTTGAAGAACAGTGAAATTCATTTTCCTTTTGCAATTCAGTGATCTTCAAGGAATGACCACTTAAATACTGGACAAGGCAGGGGCAAGTAGTATCCTGTGAAATCTTACTTTGTGAAATAAGGCTAGGTTCATACTATGTGGGGTGGTTGCAGGTATCGCAGCTACTCCAGCACCTGCAACCAAAACGTGCTGCCCTGTAGAGATGTGCAGGGCTGCCAATCATTCTTAACGGCACCCCCAAGCATCTCAACTGCAGGGAAATCACATGGTACACCATGCAATTTCCCAGCTGCTGTGTTTCTAAATTGGTGCATGTACCTTTTTTTCTGTGGGGAAAAGCAGACATTGCAGCCCATTCAAATGAAGAGGCTGCCATGCCTGCGCTAACGCGGCCTGGCAAACCAGCACAGATGTGAACCTAGGGTAAAAAAAGATCAATTGGAATAACTTTTTCTGTAAACTTGTTTGACCATGTGGGTTAGACCTGTACTGAGAAAAATATGGAGGCTGCCATTGTTAACTTCGTGAAATTGCTAATTGCCTGGCTATCTCTAGCTGTAACTTTCCGGTCACTAAGTTTTCCCAATTGATATTTCTATCCATAGCCATAAACATGCATATTTAAATAATTTTCTCATACATATATTGTTTACAAAAAAGTATTGGTGGATTGCCCTTTGAGGTCTATAGGTAGCTTAAATTCTTGACTTTTTTTTTCTCTTCTTTGAAAAACAAAGAAAAACATATTTAAAAGGAACCTGTAAGGACAGAAATATGGGAGCTGCCATTGCGGACCTGCTTGTCAAACTGTAGGCTCCCAGGCTGATCCACATTACTGACCCAGAAGAAGCATTAAGGAAGGACTATCACCAGAAGAAAAAAGTGGTAGTCAAAGTGGAGTTCCAGTTGACTTTTAAAAAAAAAAAAAAAAAAAAAAAAAAAAAAAAAAAAATTGCTACTCCGCTCCCCAAAGGTGCCAATTCTTAATTGGGAGTGGGGGACAAAGCCTTAAAGCAGAACTTTAAGGAGCTCCACTTTAAATAAAATTTAATTTTTTTTTTTTTGTCATATGGACATTTCCATGAGTAGAGCCAGCACTAACCCCACCTTCACTGGCTACTAAATGATGACTATACATCCTAGTATAGTCCCTGCTTGTGCAATTGTCAGCTTGCGTTTTGTAAATTGTGCTATTGTCAGCTTGTGTTTTGTAAATGAAAGTGCTTTTCTCCACCTGCAATCATTCGCCATACAATCTGACAGCTTCTTCTCTCTGTTGTACTGAATAGCAGGCTGCAGCTCTGGACTCAGTATAAACTAAACAGGGATATGTGAAGACATGGCACTGCACAGCAAAGCAATGCTCTGTCTAGCAGTTTAGGTTCCATGTGTCACACAAAAACCAAATTATGTTGCTCAATATCGTCAAATAGTTGGGTAGTTGGGTGGGTAGTTGGGTGGGCAGGGCTAGCTACTGTTTTTGACAACAGCAATTCCTGCATAGATTTATAAGATGTTCACAGGTACCTAATAAAAAATGCTTGATCAAGGGCAATGACTCAATATTAAGTGGTTAAACTCAAAAGGTGAAACTCAAACAGACCAACAATGACAGCTCTCATATGTCTGTCCTGACAGATTCCCATTAGCTTTCCTAATTGCAGTTTGTGCATCAAACACATACACAAACCAATACAATCCATTAGGCATGTCATATGCAGTGTAAACTAAATCCGTGCAAGCAACATCTAAGGAATTTTATTAGACTTTAATTTAAGAAACCTGTACCTTGATTTACTGTCACCAAGAGAGGTAATCAAATTATTTTCCTAGCCTCAATAAATGTATACTGTTGTAGGTATAGAAGCATATTGTACATAACGCTTCAGAGCAGAAGCTCCTGTGTATCAAATTAAGGTTTGTCTTCATAAGATAAAATGGCCAAAATAGCCATTTTGATTTTGAGATCTGCAAGTCTGTACATTGGAATGCTTCACACATTGCTGGCTTTAAGGCAAATGCATATTATCCCAGTGTGATTCTCAAAGCCAGCAGCTAATTGAAATTTCAGCCATCAAAAAATGTGTTATTTTTAGGTGGGCTTAAATGCCAATACAGTCTTTTATGCAAATTAATTACATTAAAGATCCTGGGAAATATATTGTCGTTTGCACAGCAGAACATAATAAAAATAGCAGAAAATTGTTTTAATATAATTTCCCCTCCACCATCAATATATTTGTATTGTGGTACAGCTGCAGTAGGAAAAGTGCAAAACTGCCTAGGAGGTATAAACTGAAACTAGGTTGACTGAATGCATTTTGATGCTTTAAAGATTATATATTTAACTACTCGTGTGCAGTCTTGTCTGTTTTATCCTGAAATCTCCAAATAAAATCTGCAATAAATATCCTCCATAAAAAAAAAAAAACATTGATAACTCAGCATGTTTGGCTAAACACCAATGGAATCATTAAACTGCATTTTTTGAATTTGGTTTTAATTCTAAAGGATAACAAAGCACTGCAAGTTATTTTCTGTTTACAGCTTCTAGTAAGCGTAAAAGGTGAAGGAAGAGATTGATGACATCAAGATAGAGGTTGATGGAAGCGAGAATGTGCTCCTCTGGGGACAATTTGTGCATCAGCAAATGAGTATCATAGATGATGAATCCACAAAATAGCAAAGCTCCACCGGCAGCTAACACGATCTCCAAAGTCTCACTATAAAAGAAAAACTGGCAAAAGAAAAAAACAAAGAGTGAGAGTATTGCAATGACCACAGATGCATAACTAAAACAACGTTCAAGCAACTATTCACAAGATAAAATGAGGAAACCATAAGTAGAAGGAAATAAAAAGTGCATCTCCCACCAAAAGATTTTACTGCTCTATGGCAGGGGTTTTTATACTTTCCAGAAGGGCCATGTGCACATTTGGCAAATATTCACAGACAAAAAAAAGTTTTATAAATCAATGAATAAAACATATAAATTAATATGTTTTACTTTGATCTCTTTTGGAATCAGCATGTTATGATTTGAAACAAAAGATAAAAACTTCAGTGAAACTAAGCAGTGTCCATTTACACCAGAGTCCCCACCAGAGCCCCCCTACATTACAATCCCATCAGAGTTTCTCCTCCATAAGAGCTCTGCGATCCCCCCCCCTTTAATTCAGAATCCCAATCAGAGTCCCTCCTTTAGGTACCCTGTTTCCCCCCCATCTTACATCAGTTTGCCTTAGAAGTCCCCCCTTACATTAGAGTTCCGTCAGATTTCCCTTACATCAAAGTCCTCCATCACAGCCTCCCCTTACATCATGTCTGCATCAGAGGAGGAACCCAGACATAGTTGCAGAACGTATGCACTTCTTGAGCAGGCCGGATTTGGCCCTAGGGCTGTAGTGTGGATACCCCTGCTCTATTGGGTTCCATTGGGGAAAATTCTCCTGACTTTTTCTTGGTGACAACATTGTCACCAGGACAGGACCCTAAAGAATATCTCCAATAAGGACATAGATTAAGTATAAAAAAATAAAGGCGTCTTTATAGCAAAGAGAGGGCTAGAACTCCTGTCAGTGTTTTGTTTTATATGTCACCGGGAGAAGAATAGAGGGCAAATCTTCCCAACACAGTCTGACACCAACAGGGGACCACCAGCACAATACTGTATTTTGATAATTGTATGACGCTAATGCACGCAGTTTAGTACAGTCATTTTTTTTTTCTGTTTCAAGTGCCTTTTTTATATCTATATCTACATTTTCAGTGGTTCTCCTGGTGAATTGGATATAATCCAAGAGACCCGTCAAGCTTCTAGGAAACAATATCTGAATATGTTCATGTGCATAAATATTATATGCTGAATCTAAATCAAATTGTGGTAAAGTGATCCAAATATGATTTTATACAATGAATGAGATTGAGATATTAATTGTAAACACATTTTGTACAAATAAACTTTACATTTTAAAACATTACTTTTGTTTTGCCTTAAAACTCCCACCATGTCAAATTATTATAATGATTTAAGCTGAGCAGGAATGTGGCATACTTGGGCCATGTATATCTATCTTGAATGATAGGGGACAGAACAAACTAGAACACTGGCAGTGGTGTGTACATGGGTTATCTTCAAAGGGCATCTACACTGAAAAACTGGACATTAAAGAAGTACTAAACCCACAGCAGTAAAATCAGTCTATATACGCAGTATAGCATGCTTCATATACTCACTATGGAACCTAAGGGGTTACTCCTCTGCATTGTGTTAAAATGCTGTTTGATCCTGATTTCTCTGATCCTCCCCTTCTTCCAGTGCCCCTCTCTTGACTCCTGATAAGACATATCGTGTGGAGACACTCTGCACATGCTCAGTCTGGTGTGTATTGCTAGAGAGGTTTTTTTTTTTCCTTGGAAGAGTGCATGTGATCAGCACTATCCAGACAGAGGTCAGGGGTTCTGCATCTTCCTAGAGCAGAATGAAAACTCCTCTTCCAAGATTTAACCAGTGCTTGTCTGGACACTGAAAATGCTGATGATAAAAGGTATTTAGCCATTTATATTTTCTAAAATAATTGCATTTCCATGTTCTGTGTACTCTGGGAGACCAGATAAAGTGAATGCAGGGTCATGGGTTTAGTAACACTTTAATATATTGTAGCTTACCAGTCCTTAGATGAGGTGGCAGCAATAGTTTTCTTTTTCAGGCTTTTGTTCCCTTTATTTTCACCTGGCAATCCTGCAAATGACACACTCCCTCTCCACTCCTCCCTCGTATCTATAGTTGCCACTAAGACTGGTTTTTGTTGATCAGCCTTTGTTCATCTCCATTATATGGTGCATACTGAGATTAACAGTTTACACAAAATGAGATAATATGGTATTATTGTTAATTATTATTGTTTCATCTCACAGGAAGTCAAAAGGACACTGCAGTTCTAGCAAGAGCAACACATATTTTATGTATTTGCTGAAAATGTTCTTAGCCTGAAAAGTAAAAATGAACACAGCCACTAAATCTGAGGACTTGTAATCTTCCACATATTACATTTATGTTCTTGGGCTTAAATCCAGATGGCCAATATATACTTTATACAAATGATCATTGGCAATGTTAAAGTTTGTGTCAGATACTTGCTCCTATTATTGTATAAAGACATAGATACAGTTATCAGAATAAAACAATGTTTATCATAATGGCCCTTACATCAGGAAAGGTGCACATCAAGTGATACCACAAGTACTTTTAGACATGCTGATAATATGGTATAGGCCAGGAAGGAGCTTTTCTTACAAAAAAATAAAAATGAAGCTTACCCTAAGAAATCCAGCAAGGATCAAAATCCATAACCCAGCAAAGAGCCTACAAAAGTAAAAATATACAGTTAGTATGTTTGCAATGCTTCTTAGGGCTCATGTACACTGCAGCTCCTAAACTGATGTTCAGGAGCTGTTCAGCATTTTTTCAGCAGCCCCTGAACTCTCCCTAATGTTTTCCTATGTGTCCATGTACACTATGTCATTAACTGTAAACTCAACTGTCTGTAAACGACTGTAAACTAAACTTCCTGTAAACGACTGTAAACTCAACTGCCTGTAAACGACTGTAAACTCAACTGCCTGTAAACGACTGTAGTTTTTTTAAAACTTGTGTTCAGGAGTAGATTTTACCGGCGTTTCAAACGACAAATGCTTGTAAACACGTGTAAGCACGGTTAACCGCGTTTGCGTTTAGAAGCGTTTTTTAACTGTTCCATGTCCAGATGCTGTCCGGAGCCTTTTTTCATTATCAGAAATGCATGAAAAACGTTTTCCTAGTATTCAAATGGACCTGGTACACCAGCGCAGTCAGTTCCAGGTTTTGCGTGAAGGAAAAAAATGGTAGAACGTGCTGCGTTATGCTCATGATGGGATCCATAGTGAAGACAACCAGAAAAGACAGGTAATCTCAACACATACTGCTCTTTCTGCTTCTGCTCTCTCTATTCCCAAACAGAAAAGACAGCTAATATCAACGCATACTGCTCTCTCTGCTTCTGCTCTCTCTATTCCCAACCAGAAAAGACAGATAATCTCAATGCATACTTGCTCTCTCTGCTTCTGCTCTCTATTCCTCTCAAAATGTCTGAAATAGTTATTTACTATTTTTCAGTGCATTCTGGACATTTGGGAAAGTCTCCTGAGGTTATTTTTTAAAAACACTTCTAAACGCAAATGCACATAAATGCGGTATGCAAACGCGGCTAAACTGACATTTTTTAACGTACATTTTCCAGCAGTCAGTTTCCATCATTCAGCAGAGTTTTCCAAATGCTCCGTGCACATGAGCCCTAAGTCAGCCAGGTCATTGTATAGCTAGCAGTGGTTAGTCAAGTTCAATTGGTCTCTGTAAAGTTGAAGACGTTTTGTAGCTTACCCAAGCCACTTTTTTACTTATAACCACCACTAGATATACATTTATTACAGCTGGCAGTTTATGCTTTTTATTAATACCTTTACTTGTGCCATGTAGTAGCAAAGCATAACTTGGTATCAGTCCACAAATCACAGCAACTCTGTACCACTGAACTACAATAGCATAAGATGTAACACATGTGAAGGAACTACTGTAACTATCTTCCTATATCTGCTCTGCAATGTTAGGCTGGCTATATATAGTACTATCCAATTTTAGGTCTATCAGCATCTATATATATTCACTCGGGCAAGGCAAGGCACTGCATCATTGTTAGTATATATAAAACAGAGTGCACATTCAGATTGTAACAAGCGTGGCCAGCTTTAGTGGTCCATATGAGCTGGTTCTGGTAACACTAATGAATGTAGGATATATACATACACATACATACATACATATATATATATATATATATATACACACACATACACATACAATTTGTGAATAATATGATAATATTTAACAATCTGGTAACAGCTAAACATGCATTTACGCATTAAAAGGAAGATCCTCAGGATTGACAGACATTCTACAGTATGCTCATTCTATTAGAAAGACCAATACCAACTGTACCATAAAAACACTTTCACAAGCACTGTTGACCACAGAAGCTCTGGAAGATTTTTTCCCCCGTCATGACCAGGCCATTTTTTTTGCTATTCGGCACTGTGTAATTGCGTGGTCATGCAAAACTGTACGAATAAGAGAATTTATATTTTTTTAATATCATTTTTCACACAAACAGAGCTTTCTTTGGTGGTATTTGATCCCCACTGAGTTTTTTATTTTTGGAAAAAGAATTTTTACTTTGTTATAAAACATGTCCAATAAAAAATATAAAATTACTGTATAAATTTAGGCCAAAATGTGTTCTGCTACATGTGTTTGGTAAAAAAAAGGAAAAAAAAAAATACCAATAAGTTTATATTAATTGGTTTGTATGAAAGTTGTAGCATCTACAAACTATGGTATAAAAATTAGAAAACAGATCAATCCTGATGTGCTGACGACTTATCACATTTCTTGAGGCCCTTAAATTGCCAGGACAGTACAGTACAATTACCACCCAAATAGCCCCGTTTTGGAAAGTAGACAGTCTGAGGTATTTAGTAAGAGGCATGGAGGGTTTTTTTGACACTAATTTTTTTTGTCACAATTTTTAGAATAATTAAGAAATTACATTCTTGTCCCCAGAATTATTATTTTTGTACATACTGTCATCAGTGTAGTACAACGTCATCATATGACTGGTGTGACGGTGATCAGGGACACTGACTGGTGACGGTATGTTAAAATAAAAAATGTTTTACACTTTGCTGTTACAATGGTGATCATTATAACAGCTTTGAATTGTCATGAATGAATTTAATTCATAACAGAGGTGATTACTAGCGATCTGTGATTGGCTACAGCTAATCACATGGTAGAGGGTGCTGTGATTGGCCCAGGTACCATTTGGTAGCTGTGGGTCAATCACAACTTACTGGTAAAAGAAGCAGAGCTGTTATGAATGAGGTTAATTCAAAACCGCTTTCTTGACATTGTGATCATATGTACCGGGAACAGCAATCTGCTGGGTCCAGGATATCAAAAATCGCTTAACTGCTATAAGAGGATGACAGAAAGAATGGCCTAGGCAGGGTATATGAATGCATGCCCTTGCATGAAAGGCACATAGGTGTATATCTAGATTGGATATTAAAGCAGTATTAAACCCAAAAGCAAACATTTACATTATATTGCACTTTACCAGTTCTTAGAAGAAAAGAACCTGAAAAAAGAAAACTAATACAGCCATCACATTTATTTTCACCCGGTGATCCAGTTAGTAAGTCCAATTAATGCTGGCAGGGGTCCTTAAAATGATCAGCTTTTATTTATTCATGTAAACCTTTTATCTCAAAAGGGCTAAAAAATAATAGCTGTAACCGATTATAAAAGTATTAGCTGGCGTTAAGCTTCAATTTGTTAGTGTATTTAAATCATCCAGTACTTCTAACACTCCCCTCCCCCCAGACTAACAATAATGCTGTCCAAAAGGTGCCCCCTGTGATCCTTCATCCAGAGTGGAGGCACTCTAATACATGAGGTGTTTAACTGCCCAGATCACAGGAGAAAACATCAGGGAAAAAAGCCTAACCCCCCAAACCCTAATACAGCCACTACATTGAACGATTGGTAACCTGCAAATATATTCCATTTTTGGCTTTGGATTTAATAACAATGCTGGATGTGTGAGGTGTCTATATCCTTGCTAAGATATGAACAGAAAACTTAGAAATGTGAAGCGGACTCTTAGAGAGGAGCTGTCCTAAATAAATAAAAGTCAGCAGCTACAAATACTGACTGGTTCTTCCCTGGTCTTCAGGTCCCACTGTCATCACAGCCAGCTGCCCACTGCGCATGTGAAGGTCGCTCTGCACTTCTGAATGGGCCTGCAGCCTCCTGGGACTTGTCACGTGCACCAGGAGGTTGCTGAATGTCTACTTGGATTGCCTAGTGGGAGTGGGTATCCACTCCCTATAAAAAAAAAAAAATTCCAAAAATGTTTCAGGGTGAAGTTCCGCTTTAAGGATCTGTTCAAATACAGGTGTTTTGAATCGAGGGTGGAATCACAGTGATTCTGCCTGCAATTTCAAAACACACTGTTAAAAATGTCAGCTCGCACATCAGAGTGTTCAGATGCCATTAGTTTCAATGGCACCTAAAAATGTAGGACGATTCTGCCGCGATTGTTGCACGACAAATCACGGTGCAATTGTGCAAACCAAACTGTGTGAACAAGTCCCAGAACTTCTTTTGTGCGACATGCTTCACACAATTTGGTTTGTGCAATTTTCTTACGTTTGGCAGCTTTTAGAGTTCCAACCATGGCTTCAAATAAATTGGCTCATTGGTCATCATTAAATAATACACCAAATTTTACTTTCAGTTTGCCATCCTTGTCTCTTGTGCCAAGACGCAAAGAACAACAAAGAACAAAAATGTCACATGAAATTCATAAAACCAGTTTTACATGTTCCGTTCAGCTGCATGAACAAAAAACTGCAATCATATTGTTCCAAAGTGCCTGCAAACAAACATACCCAGCCCCAAACTTGCTGAAGTCTTTCTTGGTCTGGAATGTGTATGCAGTAAGGCCAAGGAACACAGCACCAGTCAGTATAAATGCCTGTAGAACCACAGCCACCTCATAGAACGTCACTGAAAAATACATATAGAGAAATTAGAGTAAACATACAATAGGCAAGCATAACTATGCAATGTGTATAAAAAAACAACAGCCATAGTTCATAAGCTAAACAAGAAACAATTACCTGCAATACCAACAGTAACAGCTTCCAGTAAAGTCTATAAAATAAAGATGAATCAGTCAGTAAATTCCAAAGTATCCAATGACTAATACAATGTATTTGCAGCTTGGTAAATGTCCAAACGTTTTTTTTAGTTAAGGACACTTAAGCCAGCAATACATGGGTCAAATTCCGAAAAAGAATTTTCCTTTTGAAAATCTTTTCTAAGAATTTTCGTTCGAATTTCGCACCATTAGTGGGCCACAGCAACAGCCGATTTTTTGAGCGACCATCGAATTTGAGTGATTGGGCATGTTGGCAATTTTTTGAAAAAGGAATAAACTTCTAATCAATGATGGGAGAATCATGCGTGAAGTGTAACTAAAAAAGAAATGAGCATGAGCTGTGACCTGAAAGGAAAACAAAATTGTTGACCATGAAAATTATTTTCTGTAGCAACACAAGGTGAAATGAAAGGGTTGGTTGATCAAATTTCGAAACCAATGGTGGCACCATCAGATAACAAAAACTTCTGATTTTCTAAAGAAAATTTGTTTGGAATTCGACCCATGTATGGCCTGCATTAGGGTGGATTTACTAAAACTGGCACACTCAGAATATTGTGCAGCTGTGCATGGTAGCCAATCAGCTTGTTCAGTTAAGATTTGACAATAAAACCTGGAAGCTGATTGGTTTCTATGTAGAGCTGCACTAGATTATGCACTGTGCGGTTTTAGCAAATAACCCCCTTTGAATCATAAGTTTAAGTGAGTATCCTGAAACTGAAACCATGGAGCATAATTCTCATCAGTCATCAGAACATTTTTTATGTGTTTGTTAACTTAAATCATGCCAGAATCAAACTCCCATTAGAAGGATTTTCTTGTCTGGCCTTGACATTTAACTGGTCATTAGATAACACAAGCTTGAAAGCTTTTGCCTATATACAATTTATAAGCCACGTATGAACCACAACATGCACATCTGCGGTTATACAGCTCATTATGATTTTACAACATTTTCTTCCTCTTACCCACATCACTCATTTAAAAACACTGACCTTAAGGAATATACACATAGTATATTTGGCAAAGTGTCTATTCTATTCTCCATAGGCTGTACAAGGACTCATACAGTATGGTTGTTTGTATATTCATTATAAACTGTGATCTGAAATGTGGACAATATTTCATAAGTGGATACATGTTCTTTGATTATACTTTTAAGCTGTGTATAATCTGCGTGTTGTTGCATACAAAATATCAATAAAGAACTGATAAAAAAAAAAAAAATTCAAATGAACAATTATTTTCCCATTACAAACATATCTGAAATAAAATATAGATGCCAATTTGTGGCGAAACATGTTGGGCGGGGCCTAGACGATGATATCACACACAAGCCGACACTCGGAGCTTCAGCGTCTGTTATATGCGTGCTTATATTCCTCAGTTTGTGAGTATATGTCTATTTTAAATAAAATTTGCTTTTACGTTATAACACCACTGTGGCCTCTTGATCTTCTCCTCCAGAGGGTTTATTTTTCCACTACATAAGGAGATTCCTGCGGAGTCTTGACATAACATATGGAGGAGGTGTTGAGAGTATCCGACTACGGAGGTGAGAGTATCCGACTACGGAGGTGAGAGTATCCGACTACGGAGGTGAGAGTATCCGACTACGGAGGTGAGAGTATCCGACTACGGAGGTGAGAGTATCCGACTACGGAGGTGAGAGTATCCGACTACGGAGGTGAGAGTATCCGACTACGGAGGTGAGAGTATCCGACTACGGAGGTGAGAGTATCCGACTACGGAGGTGAGAGTATCCGACTACGGAGGTGAGAGTATCCGACTACGGAGGTGAGAGTATCCGACTACGGAGGTGAGAGCATCCAAATACGGAGATGAGAGCATCCAAATACGGAGATGAGAGCATCCAAATACAGAGATGAGAGCATCCAAATACAGAGATGAGTGCATCCAAATACAGAGATGAGAGCATCCAAATACAGAGATGAGTGCATCCAAATACAGAGATGAGTGCATCCAAATACAGAGATGAGTGCATCCAAATACAGAGATGAGTGCATCTAAATACAGAGATGAGTGCATCCAAATACAGAGATGAGTGCCATGAGTGAGCACAAAAGCATGTATTGATCTTTGGAAGTGAGATCAACATTTTTGGTAAGAGGCTAATTATTTATTTGGTGAAGGAATCATGGGTGAACACAAATTTGCTTTCAAGATTGAGTTTATTCACTGAAGATATATTTTTGATTGGACACTTGTTTACTCTTTATATGGTGGACTTTCTATATGGAGGATTGAATATCTGTTCACTTTTCATATGGTGGATTGCAATTATTTATATAGTTTATAAATCCTCTTTAGTGTCAGTGAATTTATCCAAATATATTCTTCAATATAATAGTCCCAAAATCTGATCCATAATCCTTGTGTACCTCCAAGAAAATGAAAATAAAACTAGATAGTGTATTAACCTCAATATATCAGTGATTAAATCATATATACATGTGAAAAATTGTGCAAACACAAAAAAACAACGTGAAAACGTGAAATAGTGAGGCACTCCGTGTACACTCCTGTATAATCACTTCTCGTTGAACACTCCGTGGACACTTCTATGTGGCTAAAGTAAATACCCTTACCCTAAATACGTGATAAAAAGCCTTCTAAGAGAATAATCCAGTGGGTCATCAATCATCAGGATTATCCCACAAACTTTATACCAGGTCCCAACAATGGTCTCTATTAGCTGTAACAAATCATGATCTTCTTCCTATGTAGTCAGTCTGGACAAAACAGTATCTTCCACAAACATTATCTGCAGATCTCTCCTATTCCACCAGAAAATGGGAATTTCTGTCGGACGACGAGTGGTGCCAGGAGATGAAATGGATACCCCGAGACTTGGGGTATCCATTTCATGTCCTGGCACCGCTCGTGTTTTCACGTTGTTTTTTTTGTGTTTGCACAATTTTTCACATATGTATATATGATTTAATCACTGATATATTGAGGACAATACACAATCTAGTTTTAATTTTCATTTTTTGGAGGTACACGGTGATTATGGATCAGATTTTGGAACTATTATATTGAAGAATATATTTGGATAAATTCACTTACACTAAAGAGGATTTATGATTTATATTTTTGGACTTTCAAGGGTGAAAGTGTGACTTTTAAGTGTCAATATATAGGATATTAATTTATTCACAAGTTTGTTATTGTTTTTGGATACTGATTTTGCATTTATCATATATTTATATAGTTTGTTTAATTTTTTATATATGAGGTATCATTTGTACATATTGAACCGGTATAGAAGGAGAGATGTGCACTAAGTGTTTGATTATAAAATGTAGACTTACAAATCCAAATAACAGATACAGGTTCACTGGATGTTGATGCCTGTAGATCGTCAGGGCGATAATTGTACCCAGTGATCCGATGGCACAGAGTAGAAGTAAAGCAGGGCTAGAAATGAAAATGCATAATCTGAGTTAAAGAGCTTTTCTAATTTACCTGTATATTTATTTAACCATCCAATCTAGTGTTGACTTTTTCAAAAAGATAAATACCACATGACATTGTAGTTATTGCTATACCTCTGTGAAACGGGGCTGTCTCCAGCAGTTTTCCTTCACGCTGGCACGCAAGCAGCTTAAGCAAAGCAGCATCCAATTTGTGTTTATTCCCAAGAATTTAGCAGCAGAAAACACCTTGCTTTTTGTGATCTGATCTCTCACACACTAGTAATTAATCAGTGTTCCTGCTTTGCAAGCTATGGTTTTTACTGCCCATGCTTAGTAATGCAAAAAATTACAGAAAAAAAATGAGTGGCAGCAAAATCCTACAGAAGTAAATAATCATTTGAAATATTGCAAATGTGCATTCTTGTTATGTCTTTAAGGGTAAGTTTCCACCAAATCTTGAATTCCTCCTAACAAATCGTAGGTGGACTTCCATTTCTTATAGCATCATTGCTGTATACAGTATCTTTAGGTACTGATCTCAGACTGCTAGTCCTCAAGATTTGGTGATGTCGCCACTGTTCTGCTCACTTGACCTTGGTGAAGAAATGCTTTACCTGAGGTCCTGCAGATATGCATCACTCTACTTCTGCGCCGTTCTCCTGCTGCTGCTTGAATATTCCTCCATCATTAGAGGAGCAGTTCTGACATGAGGAAGCAAACTTGCACCTCTAACAAGATGGTCATCTCCACACAGAGACACGGGGGCTGATTCACTAAAGGCAAAAAGACTGCTCACTTTGCAAGGAAATATTCCCCAGTGCTTAGTGAATGAGGTGAAACTCTGCTGACTGCCATCATCCAACCATGTGCAAGCAAAACTACTTTTTTTATACATTTTACTTGCACAAGCTTGGGTCTTCCTTGCAAAGTGAAATTTCACTACAGTGTATTTGCAAATCTCTGGCGAAAATTTCCTTTCAGAGTGCAGCAAGGTGTCAAGCAAAGCATGGTAAGCCAGTATTGGGGATGACTTGTCCTTTGCCCTCTACTTGCCTATATTGGGCTCACCTTCCACAGCTCAGAACCTTTTTAAAGGCATAGTTACTTACCACAGTTAAAGAACTTTTTAAAGGATAAGTTCACCTTTGGGAACATGTTACATGTTCCAACCATTTTTAGGATGAAACATGTAACATGTTCCAGCTGCTGCCTGCTGACATCTCTCCCTGTGACAGAAGTAAGGGGAGAAGTTCCCCATACTAGCTGTTACTTTTTAAAAATAGCGTGGCCATGCAAGGCTCTGTACCACACAGTTGCTTCATTCATTCACAGAGTTCTATGAATGAATGAACTACAAGTACCGACATCCTTTGTGGATGTCGGCTTTCAGCTCTCAATTAACTACCATGGCGCTGTTGCTGTCAGTTTAAAACTGACTATCCGTAAAGCTCCACAAAAAAAAAAAAAAAAAGAAAAAAAATAGTAAATGCACATTTTCTAACCTGCAAAATTATTATTTTTTTTTTTAAAAGTGAACTTATCCTTTCACTTTGTCATCTGTGGTAGTTATTTTGACATTTGCATCCATGCAATTCTCATGTAGAATAACAAAAATACTACCCAACCTTTCATGAACAAAGGTCTTGATTGAGTCAAAATAGAGGAATACTGCAGCTGTCACAGTGGTCAGAAGAATTTGTACAGACAAAATAGAATAGACCTTCCGTAGAAAAGCTAGTTAGAAAGAAAAAAAAAATTGGTAAGTGTGGGATTACAGCATCAGTAAGAAACAAACAATACAAAACAGAGAACTCACAGACCATTCCTCTACAACAGAGTTTCCCAACCTTTATAACATGGAGTAACCCTTAAAATAACTTAGAAGTCTCAGGGAACCACTGACAAAAATTACTGTATCTACAGCTCACAGTACATTAGCAAGGTAGTAAGCAGGAAGGATGCTCCTTACGTTGGTCGTTGGTGGGTATAATGCCCTCTTTACAGAAATTTGAAAACATCATTGGTGTCAGTGGTTACTAATCTGAGAGGCAGAAATTGAGTATTGCTCAATAAACTCCTAGCAACCTCTGGAGGACCCTGATCGAGAAAGACTAGCTTTTCTAGGAAATGTTACTGTAGAGCATTGTAATTAGAACTTAGCTTACCAATACTAATAGAACGGATTTCACAATTTTTGTCCTTCAGTTCTGATATACAGTGCTAACCCACTTTTTCAAGTAGGACACTGAACAAGTTCAACTTAACTTATTTACCATAACTTGAGATACTTTAGTGTCAAACCCATATTGTTAAAAATAAATAAATGCTGTATTACGTGCTGTTTATACTCACTCAATCACTATGGGATTCATTTTGTTTTTTCTGTAAAAAACCTGTCTGACCCTGCTGCCCTCCACCTCCTGTCCATGTCCCCACTGCAGTTGGGGATTTTGCAGAGCAATGTTGGCTGCTAGTGCACATGCTCATTTTTCAGTGTACTTTTACCCTGAGCATTTCCTCCCTATCACATCTTAGCCAACCCATGTAACTATAGAGTCAAACATATGGGTGTACACTGACTGCTGCCCCTCTCTGCCAATCCCTTCACTGGCTTTCACCAACTCAACGTTTAAAATTCAAAATACTAACCACAGCTTACAAAGCCAACCACAACACTGCCCCTAGCTACATCACCAACCTCATTCACAGATACCGCTCAAATCACCCACCCTGCTCCTCCCAAGATATCTTCCTCTCTAGCTCCCTCACCACCTCCTCCCACGCTCGCCTCCAGGACTTCTACAGAGCCTCTCCCATCCTCTGGAACTCCCTACCACAGTATGTCCGGTCAGCCCCCACCCTGTCTGCCTTTAGGCGATGTTTGAAAAGTAGCGATGTTTGAAACTCATTTATTCAGGGAAGCCTACCCCACCTCCGCCTAAGAACTGTACTTGAATCACCTCCACCATATCATCCCCTGCAGCTATCACCTACCCCTTCCTTTAGATTGTAAGCTGCACGAGCAGGGCCCTCATATTCCTTCTGTACTGAAATGTAATGTAATTGTATTGTCTCCCTTATATTGTAAAGCGCTGTGCAAACTGTTGGCACTATATAAATCCTGTATAATAATAATAATAATAATAATAATACACACAATGGTAAATGACAGCCCACTCCCTCTTTCCTCCTCCATTCCCACTAACCAGCTAAACACAATGGGGGGCAGGATATTATGTCTTGATTAATGGTGGCTTCATCTCCCCGTTATTCTAAGATGCAGGCTGGAGGGGCGTGACACAGCCTGTGACTGGCAGAAATCTGTCCACACCACATTATTGCCAAAAAATAATAAAGATTTTATTTCAAATATATAATTGTATGACAATTTAAAACAGTTTATTGATATTATATATTTTTACTCTGTATTCTAAAGGCTGTGTTTTTTTATTTTGAACATGTGACCAGCAGCAGAGGACTAGAAGCTCCTCCTACAGACAGGCTAGGAAAGAGCTGGGTCATGTGACAGCTGTATACCAATTCTGTATACCGAATAGGAAAAAATGTACTTGGATTTTTAATAAAATATCACAGTGCAACCATCCACAAACAGATAGAGAATGTATAATGTGAATTAAACAGTGTGTGTTTAGTATCACTTTAAGTGTATGTAAACCGTAACAATGTTTTCTTATTTGCTCCCTTTTGGTATGTTAAATATATCGTTAAAAGAGAGGTGTGGAATTTTAAAAACAAACAGTCATACTCACCTATGTAGATGCAGCTTCGGTCCCATGCTGCATCTGTCCCCTGCCGCCTCTAAGACTGAGAATTGAGCAATCAAAGCCCACTGATTCCTCAGTTCTCCGTCTCCAGTGAGCAGAGAGCCAATGACTGTCAATCATTGGCTCCCTGCTCTGCCCCTGCAGCGCTCACTGAAAAGAAGAGAATGTTGACCCTACTTCTCCTTTAAATGCATTGTTATATCTGTTTGAAAAAATTTAAAAAATACCTGTTGATCCTGCCAGCAATCTAATGAACTAAAAACTTCAAGTGCTGCACTTTTGTAGGAAGTGTTCTGTAGTCCTATTCTAGGGTGACAATGCTGCTGCTCTATAAATGCAGTACAGTGAGTGAGCTGTCACCCTAGGACAGGATGTGTGTTACTGGTCAGATCATCAGGTGAAAATCAAAAAAAATTGTTTGATCGATTTTTAAATTATGGCCTCAACTGATTAAACTATTTTTAGATCCTGGGCTCAACTGTTCAATCCATTTTTAAACAGTTGAGCCCATGATCTACCCTCCTCACCTTTAGGCGCACCCTGAAAACCCATCTCTTCAGGGAAGCCTACCCCACCCTCACTTAACAGCCGATCTCCTCCACTCCTCCTACCACTCCATGCCCTACAGCCACTTCCTCCTGTACCACTTTCCCCTCCCTCCTAGATTGTAAGCTCGAAAGAGCAGGGCCATCGATCCCCTCATGTTTTGCATTGTATTGGTATTGTTCTGTCACATTAGTACATGCTGTAATTAATATATCCTTAACCACTTCAATACCGGGCACGTTTACCTCCTTCCTGCCCAGGCCAATTTTCAGCTTTCAGTGCTGTCACACTTTGAATGGCAATTGCACAGTCATGCAACACTGTACCCATAAAACAATCTCCTAGATTGTAAACTCGAAAGAGCAGGGCCCTCGAACCCCTCGTGTATTGTTTTGTTACTGTATTGTCTCATGTTCTGTCCCCCACTATAATGTACAGCGCTGAGCAAACCTTTTGGCGCTATATAAATATTGTATAATAATAAATAATAATAATAATAAAAATAATTTAAACAGTTGAGCCTAGAATCTAGAAATAATTTAAACAGTTGAGCCCAGGATCTAAAAATAGTTCAGTCAGTTGAGCCCAGAATGTAAAAATAGATTGAACTGTTGAGCCCAGAATCTAAAAATAATTTAAACAATTGAGCCTAGGATCTATAATGGATTGAACTGTTGAGCCCAGGGTCTAAAAATATATTGAACTGTTAAGCCCAGAATCTAAAAATAATTTAAACAGTTGAGCCTAGGATCTAAAATAGATTGAACTGTTGAGCCCAGGGTCTAAAAATAATTTAAACAGTTGAGCCCAGAATTTAAAAATAGATTGAACGGTTAAGCCCAGGACCTAAAAATTATTTAAACAGTTGAGCCCAGAAAAAAAAATTGAACAATTACCTCACTTGTTTGAAATTCTGTACTTTTACATCATATGTGAAGTAATATAATGCAAAGTTGGACACAATTAACTTATTTCTAAACAGTGAAAGAAACTTGGCTGCCTAAAGTTGCCCTGTCTGCAGGGAGATTTGCTTTCAAGATGTTTATCAGCCATAATTTCAAATTATCCATCAACATTATAAAAAAAAAAAAAAAGGATGTGCTATGCTGCTTAGTCAGTGTATCTAATACTGGCCACACACATAATGATCATTATGCAGTTTTGTTATTTTGATAATGCTCCTATTAGGTTCCTTGCACACTGGCCCCTTCACCTGCTGCTGCCCCACCTGTTTTAGTGCGCCTGCGAGAGAAAGGTGCAGTGTCCAGCCCTGCTGCAGGCAGCCTGTCCAGTCAATGGCTAGCTGCAGCTGAACATTGTTCCAAATGCTCCCTGCAATTAGGGCCCTGTGCTTTCAGGCACAATGTTCAGGGATGCAGGTTTTCTGCGTTTTGGAACCTCGTCCGCACAGGGCCCTAGCACGGGTGCAGTCTGCCAAACACTTTGCAGCGGGGCTGGATGTGGCACCTTTTTCTCCTAGGACATACAAAGTGCTGGGAGGGATGCACTGCAGCTGGACAGGCATGTGGAAGGGGTCTTATTTTTTTGCCACAGTAACCTACACACACCTTATTTTTTCAGCTTGATCAGCGTTTCAAAAATGATCAAATTAAAATCAAAAGAGTGTACTGCATACAATGTCAGCCAAATCATTTGATCCTTTATTACATGTTTATATGTCCCAGAACATGCACAGTACAATTGTTACTTGAGAACAATTACCATCAAACCATGGCACAAACTACTTCGACATTTAAGAGTCAGTGCCACATACCAGGTCCCCCCTCCCCCTTCCGTCAGTCCCTTTCTATTACCTTTTCTCCCTATATTTTCCTTTTCTAATCTTCCCCATTGCTAGAAGCTGAACCCTGAGATAAGTAAATATTGTCTAAATATAAAAGTCAGGTGTATTTTTATTTGAATCCTGGTGTGCTGTATTTATTCTAGATCTGTGAAGTAATCCAGTGTGACACTGACTCTGTGCAGGAGCTGCTTGTAAAATAGAGTGGTCACCGCTGCTCTCTGCCCTTGTGTAGGGTGATTGGTCTCATCTCTGCCTCCACCTGTACTTTTCTGCAGGCAGCCTGTAGTGGGTGGAGCCTGCTGGGTCCCTCCCACAGCTCTGCTCTCTGCACAGACTATGTACAGTAATGTGGTGATGTCACTGCCACGTTTACAAAGTATTATCGGCGTTTGCAAAGGCATTTTGTGCATGCAAAGTGAATTTATAGCCCTCGTGGCTATTGAGGAACATATTTATATAAACATTTTTGTGCTTGAAGTTCAGTTTTAAATTCTCTACTAATTCACATACAGGGGTGTGGAAATTTTTCAAAAAACTACTTGTCCAAGGGACAAGAGGGTCCCAATCTACTTGTCCCTCTTGACAATCTGCTTGTTCTTATAAACAAATAAACACAGATTCGGTTAATCTTAATGTTAACTGTGTGCTGTTTTCACTAAGCAATGTACTGTTTTTTATTCCCTGCTTTGCAGGGAGACAAAAGCTGGCACATCACTGCAGAGAGCCCTGTGTTGGGAAAACCACACAGGGCTCTCCTGTCATTCGCTCTGCTGATCACTGGGTTCCGGCCATAAATCATTAGCCAGAACCCAGTGACTGGCATGTCACTGCTGGAACAAATGACAGCACAGCCGGGGCAGAAGGTGCACGCACCCCCTACCCGGAAGAGCCAGATTGCTGCTTGCCTGCAGTAGGGCTAAATAAAAAAAAAAACAAAAAAAAAAACCTGCCTGGCGCCCAGAACTTCATATCCTGAGCGTCGGGCGATATCATTTGTGCATCCCTGTGAAAGAAATGGTGGGCACAGCACTTCAGCCGCCCAGCCACAAACCAAATGCAGCAGAAAGTATTGTTCCCACTTGGACGCAAGCCCAAAGCAGAATTACAGCCTATTCGTTGCCTAGCCACCATATGCATGTAATGCGTGGTGGGGGTTCACTATGGAGGGACAGTGCATCAAGGTGGGGGCAATGGGAGATCCAGCAATTCTCATGCAGCCCTAGGCTGTGTGGCTATGGTAGGAAAAGAAGAAACTAGCCAACAAGCTCTGAGGAAGAGGCTAAGTCCTCAAAACACATCAGCCTGTTGAGATTTCATCATTCTGTACTTTATGATGTACTGTGGATTGGACTGTGCTGTTTCTATGCGATAAGCGTGTACTTTTAGCTCACTTTGTGAGTATATTACTTACTGTTTTACTTAATAAAGCCATATTTTAGGGTAATGCACTAGGCCAGTGTGCCCTCTGTTTTATTTGTTATTGTAGAATCCCTAGACTTCCCCAGTCTTGTGAGGGCAGCAAGGCGAGGGCATCCTAAGAATGCCAGGATTGGATTACAGCCTACTGACATTTTTGGTCCCACTCCACAAGTACAGGAGTATCAAAGTTATCCGGAGCTGTCAGCAAGCCACTCCACTGGTCCAGGATTAAGTACAAGGACCTGTCTGATTTGATACTAGTTGAATGGATTGTTTAGGTGTGAACTCATTGGGAAATGGTGTGAAACTCATATTGGGAAGTGTGAAGGAGATAACATAGTGTATGCTCCACTGTTCCGGGGATTTGAAATCCCCGCTGCTTTCTCCTCTCTCCATCCTGCACTGCCAGGATGAACTAGATAGATTGTAATTGGTCAGCACCGCCACATGGACGGCAGTGATCAGAGTCCGCCTAGTCCGTCCTGTCAGCACATCTACGTGAGGTCGAGCATCTTTATTTTTATCAAAACTACATAATATGAATTCACACCTAAACAAACCACTCAACAAGTATCAAATCAGACAGGCTCTTGTACTATGATTGATGGCAGATCTAAATCTGCCCATACACTATATAATCTGATTGTACAATCTCTTTTAGATTTACCAAAACTTGTAAAAGGAGGACCTGCCTTATCTGTTCAATCTGTATCCAATCAGGCAGGTTCTTGCCCTGCATAGTTGAAGGTAGATCTGAAGGAGGATGTACAACCAAACATTATAGTGCAGGGGTCTCCAAAGTTTCTAAACAAATGGCCAGTTTAGTGTCCTTAAGATTTTGGAGGGGCCAGACTGTGGCCAGTGAAAGCAGAAAATGTCCTGGCTTCAAAGGAAGTAAACAATGGCCCATCCTCATTGGCCTACCTTATTGCAGGCTATCCCCTCTTCAGTCTATCACGAATGCTGCTGCCAGACTCATCCATCTTATTAACCGTCCCGTATCTGCCACCCCTATCTGCCAATCCCTCCACTGGCTTCCCATTGCCCAATTAATAAAATTCAAAACATTAACAATAACATATAAAGCCATTTATAACTCACCAAATTACATCACCAATCTTGTCTCCAAATATCACCCAAACGGTCTCTCTACTCCTCCAATGACCTCCTGCTCTCTAGCTCCCTTGTCTCCTCCTCCCATGCTCATCTCCAGGACTTCTCCAGAGCTTCCCCCATCCTCTGCAACTCTCTACCCCAATCTATCCGACTATTGCCTACTCTGCTCACTTTTAGGCAATCTCTGAAAACCTATCTCTTCAGGGAAGCCTATCCTGCCTTCAGCTAATGATGGAATCTTCTACTCTTCCAACCAGTCCATCCCCCATAGTTACTACCTTTTGTACCACTAGCCCCTCCCTCCTAGACTGTAAGCTCCAAGGAGCAGGGCCCTCCTATCCCTCTTGTATTGAACTGTATTGTTGCTGTATTGTCTCCCGTTATATTGTAAAGCACTGAGAAAACTGTTGGTGTTATATAAATCCCGTATAATAATAATCATCATCATTGGCATCAGTGGGAGAAGTATTGCTCCATTGTTGGGGCCAGGGGACGGAATAGTGCCCCATCGTTGGTGTCAGTGGGAAGAATAGTGCCCTGCCAATGATATAATTGGCAGGAATAGAGTCCCATTGTTGGTGTCATTGGTAGGAATAGTGCCTTATTGTTGGTATCAGTGACAGGGATTATGCCCCGTTGTTGTCAGTGGTAGGAACAGTGCCCAAAAGGCTGGATAGAATTATTATTATACAGGATTTACAATATAAAGGGAGACAATACAGCAACAATACAAGAGGGTTAGGAGGGCCCTGATCCTTGGAGCTTACAATCTAAGAGATAGAAGCAAGCAAAGGGCCACATCCGGCCCCAGGCCACAGTTTGGAGACCACTGGTATAGTGGATGGTCAGCTTTACTAAATATAAAATTATTATTATACGCCAACAGTTTAAAAGAATTCCTCCTGTGTGAACCGTCAGTTTCAGGTTACAATCTATAGAGCCGGGGCAGTCGTTACCATACCAGGCTAGAAGACATTCCTGTGCAGTCATTGAGATCTGTCACAGATGGACACTTCATTGGACACACAGCTTCATGCTCACCCATACGGATGTGAATACTGGCCGAGGCGACATTGGACCCATAGTTGAAGTCATCTACGATGGAGGACCTGGGATACGGATCAGCAGACGCCATGATCACAGGTTACCTAGTTGACAAATACGGATTTTCCCAGCCCAGACAGGCTGTACACAGAACGGGAAGAACGGCAGCCAATAGGAAACGAAATCGTCATCTAGCCACTGGCGGTATTGCGTGCCATGCTTACGTCACTGTATAGCAGCCATTTTCCCGAAGACCTGCAATAAAATCATTCAGCCGCCTTTGTTTCTGTGTTTTTACTGCTAATGTTGTCACATGGGGAATGTTCCGTGATACAACTCATGCCATCACGCAAGGTTACTGCATATGCAGTAACCCCACACCCCCCTAGTGTTCCCAATAGAGAACGGTCCGTACATACGTCACTTCCGGGGCTGTGTTTTGTACAACGTGGGCTCGTGTGCTGGAAGGGTGAGTTCCTCAATGTGGCTGTCATGCTCTATCATTGGCCTAATTACACAGGGCATACATCGGAATTCTCATTTTGGAGGTCTCAGTTGCTGACTTCCCCAGAGTAGTGAGAGTGATTGATTAGGATAAAGGCCCATGTCTATCCTCATCCCTTTAAACCCGAACTCCTATTCATTACACAGGTTCTGAGGCCAGCTTATTGCAGATAGGTGTGTTGAATTACCACTGTAACCAGTTGTCCTGCGCCCTATTGTAGAAATACTCTTGGCTGCGCAAAGTCACGTGTGTGCATTATATATAAAATGTCCGGGTATGGAACGCGCTTGCCGCCCTATCTGCGTTACTATTGGCGGCCATGGATGTCTATCACCGGGTCCTGGATGGAGATTGCTGAGAAACCGTGACGGGGAAGACCTGTGTGTAAACAACACAAGTCTCTCTCCTGCCAACAAAAACATGTTGCTGTGTATTTCTCTTGTTACCCCTTTCATCGCCCCAGATGTTAACCCCTTTCTGCCCAGTGTCAGTACAGTCTCTGCTTTTTTTTTTTATTTGCACTGATCACTGTATTATTATGATTATACAGGATTTATATAGCGATTTATAAGCAATCAGCCTTGCGCTTAAAGCAAAAAAAAACCAAAAAAAACCTACGTAACCCATAAGAAGAACTGGACCTCCCCAAGTCCTCCAGAAAAAACAGACTGCCGCCAGAGGCACATCCTCCTTACAGTGAAGGGGCGCCCTCACTTGTACAGGTGGGGAAAAGTCTATTGGTCTTTGCTGTCACCTGAACTCAGGCATTCACAGATGACTGGGTCTGCAATGTAGTGTCTAAAAGACCCTGGATGTCTGCCCTGTAGTCCGCTGGATCTAATGCAGTGCACATCGCACAGCTTTGCATTCTTTCCTGGCCTTGATGACCTGGAAAGTTGTCAGTGAGGACAAGGGGAGGGGAGTGGACGGGACGTGAACTGGTCCCGAGCCTGCAGATGGGTAAGTGAAGCCTGAGAGAAATAGCGGGCAGGGGGAGGTTCATGTGTGCAGGGAGGCAGAGGCATGCATTGTAGTGGGCTGCGTGGAAGCAACCGGGCGGCAGTGCAGCAGATTGAAAAAAACTACCTGCCTGGTGCCCGGAACTACATGTCCTGGACATCGGGCGATATAAATTGAACATCCCTGGTTACCCCCAGAGAAGTAACAAAGGGAAAATCTTTCAATGTTGATACTAGTTCTGGTGACCTGGGGGTCCCCAAGGGAATCTTTTAATTTGCAGGGATTTCCTCTCACTTCCTGTTTGGCTATGGGACTGGAAGTGAAGGGAAATCTCCCCAATGGAACACAGTTGATGGAAATAAACTGACAGGGGCTATAACCCTCCCTTACTCTATCCAAAATGGGGGTGGGGGAACCCATCAAGTTTTGCATGTAGTTCTACTTTAAGATCATCAGTTTGTGGTGCTCAGGTACAGTTAAGTTCTGCTTTTAAATAGGACTTTTTTATTTGGAAGTTTTTACTTGGCTGACAAATTTGAGTTTAAATTAGCACAGAGCAGGTAAACATGAATGAGTTGTTCTCCAAGCAATGTTTCTAGATTCATCCTTATTACACAAAATTACTGTTAGGCAGGCACTTGGTGAATGATTGTGTTCTATTGCTTTTCTACAATCCAACTTTTCTGATACTTTTATCCCTGGCAAATTCTGTTAAGGTCTCCTTGCTATAGATCTTCCCATCACTAAAAAGAACTCTTTTAGAAAAAAAAACTGCTTGAAAGGTATAAAGTGCAGGCATACCTTTGTTTGTCCCATCAGCCTTGGCTGAGACAGAGTTTGGAGGCTGCTGTTGGTATGAGCAGTGACTTTTCTCTTTTCCCAATGACAAAGGCTGTCTAAAGAATTCCTCCACATTAAAAAAAAATTTGGCTGCCATTGCTGATCACCTTCCCCAAAAATGTTTTGGAGTAATGTAACTGTGTGTCATTAAACCACTCCCAGTAGATCCCTTGAATCCTCATCCCTAGGCCTCCATTTCTGATCCTCTTTCGTGCAGCTAAACCTTGCTGTCTTCATTCAACAGTCTAATAGCCTGTACTTCCATCTGAATTTATGGCATTTGACAGTTGATTGACAGGGGCAGGACTTCATTTCAACTTGGTCAGAAGTCAAGGCCTTGTGTACAGCCTTGGATTCAGGAGCTCCATAAGGAATCAGGAAATGATTGAAGGCTAAAAGCTACTTAACAAGCTGCTTGCACTTTAACATTGTTAACTTAGAAATGTGTAATTCTAAGTCAGGCTCTACTACTCCAGTAGTAGTTGTTTACATGGCTTCCATGATATTCCATGAGATTACTGGCATCATTTGTATACTAATACTGTGATTTTTGTTTTGTTCTCTTTACAGAAAGTAAAATGGCCAAAAGTATAAGAAGCAAATGGAAGAGAAAAATGAGGGCAGAAAAGAGGAAGAAGAATGCCCCAAAGGAACTTGCCCGCTTAAAAAATGTTGTGGCAAAAGCAAACACTGATGTGCTGATGGATGACATGAAAGAAATAGCAACTGTTGTAACTTCTAAAAACTTGAAAGATGAAAATAAAATGGACGCCGATGCAATGGAAGGTAGAAAACATTCATTTATTGTAAACATTAAAGTGTATTTTACCCCAAAAACAATTTAAATGTTATATGTGTTAGGTTATTCACACAAGTCCTTGCAAATGTAGCCTGTAATTTTTTTTTTTTTTTTTCTTTTGGTGTTGATAAATACATGATGATCCTGTATCAAACTGACCACAGCATGCATGGCAGCAAATCCATGCTGGTGTGGTCAGTTTGTAATCCTGGGATTACTGGCAGGATATACAATATACTGTGCCAACTCATCTCAATCCGTTTAGGTGCCCCAGGACAGCTTTTAGTGGATGTAAAGGTACATTTTGTATTTAACCACTTCGTGCCGCCCTGTAGCAGAAATACTTCCACAGGGTGGCACGGGTGCACAAAATCGTGTGTGTGTACATGATTTTGCAGTTTCGGGTAGGGGGCACACTTTAAAGGTGTGGCCTTGGCTGTCAATAACCCAGTCCTGGATGGTGATTTCTCGCCAGCACCCGGTGATCGTCGAGTATCTTTGACTGGGAAGAAACCTGTGTATAAACAACACAGATTTCTCCCCTGTTATCTCCTGCACACTGCTTTGTATGGTTCTGCATAGCAGAGTCATACAAATCAGTGTGCTTACAGTGGAAAGCACTCACACAGCACACTGTGAAACAGCACACCGTTAACCCTCTGGTTGTCCCACATGTTAACTCCTTCCTGCCCAGTGCCATTAGTACAGTGTCAGTGCTTTTTATTAGCACTGATCACTGTATTGGTGTTAATGGGGATGTCGTGATACCAAGTCAGTTCCACCCAGGGTCAGAATGCCCGCCGCAGTCACGCTGTAAGCTGCTGATCACTACTAGCAAAAAAAAAATCCAGTATATATACCGCCATTTGTAAACGCTATAACTTTCACATAAACCAATTCATTTACATGTCTTGGGATTTTTTTTTTTTTTTTTCTTTAGCAAAGATGTAGCGGAATACATTTTGGCCTAAATTTATGACAAAATTTAGATTTTTAATTTTTTTACTGGACATGTTTAATAGCAAAAAGTCAAAAGTAAGTTTTTTGTTTTTGTTTTTTTTTTTCCTCAAAATTGACAGTCTTTTTTGTTTATAGCGCAAAAAAAAAATTGGAAACTGCACAGGCGATCAAATACCACCGAAAGAAAGCTCTATTTGTGGGGAAAAAAGGACATAAATTTAATTTGCCTTGCATGATCATGCATTTATCAGTTAAAATAACGCTGCGCCGTATCACAAAAAATGGCCTGGTCTGGAAGGGGGGTAATCCTCAGGAGGGCAAGTGGTTAAAAAAAAACCAAAATCAAACATGTTATACTTAACGTATTTTTTTGCTTCATAACACACACTTGACCATAAGACGCACCTAGATTTTAGAGGAGGAAAACAAGAAAATAAATATTTTGAACCAATGAACTGCAGACATAGTACAGGAGATGACCAGAGACTGCGGACACGGTAGAGGAGATGACCAGAGACTGCGGACACGGTAGAGGAGATGACCAGAGACTGCGGACACGGTAGAGGAGATGACCAGAGACTGCGGACACGGTAGAGGAGATGACCAGAGACTGCGGACACGGTACGGGAGATGACCAGAGACTGCGGACACGGTAGAGGAGATGACCAGAGACTGCGGACACAGGTACAGGAGATGACCAGAGACTGCGGACACGGTAGAGGAGATGACCAGAGACTGCGGACACGGTAGAGGAGATGACCAGAGACTGCGGACACGGTACAGGAGATGACCAGAGACTGCGGACACGGTACAGGAGATGACCAGAGACTGCGGACACGGTACAGGAGATGACCAGAGACTGCGGACACGGTACAGGAGATGACCAGAGACTGCGGACACGGTACAGGAGATGACCAGAGACTGCGGATCTTTGGGGAGTGGGGTACCCCAATTTGACAGGTACCCGCTCCCACTTCTGCTAAGTTGTCCTTCCCCACCCCCCGTAGTCTTGTCGGACATGTGGCAGGTCCCAGAAGACTACAGGTGGCCATTCACAAAGCGCAGCACTTCTTGCACATGTGCAGTGGGCCCCCGGCTGTGATGTCACAAGCTGCCACAGCCAGGTGCCCACACTGAAGATGCCGGGGCGAGAAGACGGCCGGTGAAAAGCAGGACAACGCTGGACCGAGGAGCAGGTTCTTCTGCACAGTGGAGCCAGCCCGGTATTCTAACACGGCGGCAGCGGGAATAGCGGTCCAGCTGCTCCATATTCGCTCCATAAGACGTACAGACATTTCCCCTTATTTTTTTTGGGGGAAAAAAGTGCGTCTTATGGAGCCAGAAATACGGTACCTTCTCTGTGCAGTGGTTTTGCATAGAGCAGCCCTGATTCTCCTCTTCTGTGCTCCTCCTGCCTAATGAGTACCACCCACAGCAAGTCGCTTTCTGGGGGAAGGGGGGAGGGTACTTGTGCAAGGATGGCTCTCACTGAGTCCAGTGAGGAGGGAGAAAGAGAAAGCAGCGGGAATTGAGTATTTGACCATGGAAGTAAACATTTATTTTTTTTTTTTGTTATTTAATGAACTGTGGTAATAGGAAATGTGTCTTTTTTTTGTAGTTGTGTGTTCACAAATTCTTCTATAGAACATGCAGAATGAGAAGAGAATTGAGCAATTGATTGAAGTATGTAATGCATAGCACACAGAGTGCAGTGGTCAGGAACTTGTAATATATAGTAAGATATACAGAGGGCAGTAAAGTGCTTAGGAGCATATAACAAATAGTACAGCACACAGTGTGTAGTGGCCAGAAATCTGCAGCATATAACATATACTGCACCATTTTAATCTGATGAACACACTCTGAGCATTACATAGTTAGTCTGGCTGAAAAACAAAAGTCCGTCCAGTTCAACCATTTAAAAAAAAAAAAAAAAGTTATAATCCTACACCCACACTTAATCCAGAGGAAGGCAAAAAAAACAGCAATGTATGATCCAATTTGCTCCTGCAGGGGAATAAATTCCTTCCTGATCCCCCAAGAGGCAGTCGGATATTCCCTGGATCAACTTTACCTATAAGTAGTAACCAGTTATATTCTGTGTATCCAAGAAAGAATCCAGACCTTTTTTAAAGCAATCCACTGAGCTGGCCAGAACCAACTCTTGAGGGAGTCTATTCCACATTTTCACAGCTCTTACTGTGAGGAAACCTATCCGTGTTTGGAGATTACATTTCTTTTCCTCCTTTCTGTGGCTGATAGGAGGAGATAGCTGATTGACAGAGACATGAGCCTCTCCTCCTCCCACTGTCCAGTGACGAGAACAAGATCTTAAAGTGTCACATAATGTGGTACTATACAGAGCTCTGTCCTCTGACATCTTTGGCCTGTCTGCTTCCAAATACAGATATTCACCCGTTATCATTGGTCGGGCTGAGATGACGTCGCTCCCGTTCATGCGTGGGAGTACATTCATCTTGTCATTGCCGAAATTGAACACTGAGGAGCGCGTGCGCAGCTCGGTGTACGGGTTAGACAGGCAGTTGAGAAACATTATTGCAGAACAGTCATAGTTTGTCTCTTTTGCATTTAAAATCCTTCCTGTTCATCGTTTTTCCCTTAGGTTCCACTTTAACTGCAATAGAGAAAAAGCAGACAGGATTTAACGTTGTAGTAGAGATGTGTACATCTCAGGACTGACTGGACAGAAATGTGTATTTTCTGGCAAGTAAAACCGCTTCCTTATGTCTACTACACTTTTATGGTTTGCCTGAAGTTCCACTTTACAGTGGTTGTAAACCTCAGACATGAAATATGAAGAAAGCATACCTCACTATTGTGTGTACTTGTCCCAATTAAGAGCACAAAGTGTAATTTCTGTCTGCTGCTTCATTCCTCTATCTGCATGAGACCCTTCTGACAAGTTTTCCTGACACCAGGAGATAAAAAGGTGATTGGAGGGAGATCCAGCTAATTGTCCGCCTCCACTCTGTTCCTGTTTGCTTTGTGGATAGGGTGTGTCCCTTCTCTCCAATCAGCTCTCAGAGCTCTCCTCACTGAGCTCTGCAGAGTGTAACTTCAGCTCCCCGCCCCCTTTTTTCTGAATCGTCAGACAAGATGTAAGAATTCTGCCCTTTGGCTGTAGAGAAGAGAGGCTACAGATAGACAAGTACAACTTATGTTGGAGGATTTGTTTCATCTGTGTATCCCCTGAGGCCAGTCACTTCACTGGGCATATTTAAGGGGTTACAACTACTTTACGTTTTAGAGATTAGGTGTATACGGTTAGGGGGCAGGATGAGGGTAAACGTTAAGGTAAGAATTGGGGTCGGAATCAAGGGCGATCACACACTGATTCACATTTGTTAGGGAGCCCAAATGTACTGTGCTGAGCGTTTTGACTTTTTTTAAAAGTAACCTACAGAGTTCATTGTAGTCCATCTTCTTCTGTGCCCTTTCAGACTCTTTGCTGTAGTATTCCTGCTCAAGGTGGTCCGAGCAGTATTGACTATATAGGGTTAGTGGGTTGGTGTAATGTGCTCTTGAAAGTATTTTTTCAGTGGTGGAGACAAAGTGCCTATGAATAAGGATGCTCTGAAAAAATAAGTACTCCATGGACCTGATATATTACATAGTAATCTCTGCCAGGAAAACATCACTTGTACCAAGAGCAACAACCCCATTATTTCATACATTTTTCTTTTTTTCTTAGCAATTTTTCATCTGCCAGCAGCATGAAACATGAATATAAACTATTTCAGTCATTTGTTGTACTTTTTTTTTTTTTTTTTCTTCATGACACAGGAGAAAACATAGCATGTTTTTATTTCTGCCCACCAAGGTTGTAATGTGCTATAATTTGACTATTTGTGGGCTGCTTGTTCTGTTGCCCAAATCTTGTCATTCTCCTTCAGTCTTTTGGCATCAGCAAGCTGTTTTTGAACCACAAGTATTGTAAAGGAGGGATGTTTTTAGTTTATTGTGCTGTTTTTAATAAATCATTTTATTCATCTTGTGTGAAAAGCCCAAGAGTGTCCATTTTGGAGAATGTGCTATGGGATAGGCAGCAATCCCTGTTTTTGAAGGCTGAGATGGAGGTCCATTCTAGACAAGATCACTGGTTCTCCTCGGTTTCTTAGTATCACAACATATGTCTGCATTAACCACTAGCTGTCTGGGGCAATTTTGATGATTTTCACATACAAGTTAAAATCAGCATTTTCTGGTAAACAATTATTTTAGAACCCTCAAACTTTATATATTTTCTGAAAGTAGAGGCTGTGGAGAGTAAAATAGTGGCTGTTGCAATCTTTTTAATGGCACACAACATTTGCGCAGCCATTTATTAAATGCTAATTTTCTGGAAAAGATACGCAAATTAATTTTAGTGCTCACTAAGACAATATAGTACCCAATTTGTTTGTAAAATGTTGAAAATAGATACCAAACTGGTCAAGACTTGAAATATCGACAAACTAGAGTATACAAAACTGTCAATCGGTGATAGCAGAAAAAACAAAACAGGGCACACTCTCCTTGTGCATTAACGCAATAACCAAAAATGTATTAAAAAGATGCAAAAACATACTCCCAAGCCATAAAGCAATTGCTCTGAGGAAGGGAGTTTGACTCCCGAAATGCGTTAGCACTTTACTCGAGGACGCATGCTGCCCACGATTGGCACCTTTTGACTTCTTATCTGTTTTTATGACCTTTATGGCTTGTGAGTATGTTTTTGCATCTTATTAATACATTTTTGGTTATTGCGTTACTGCATGAGGAGAGTGTGCCCTGTTTTTTGTTTTTTTCTGCTAGTATCAAGATTCCCCCATCTATCAAGGGCAGCACCTCAGCAAGTGCATGATTCCATTTTGAGTGCAGCAAGAGAGATTTTAGCGCCGGTTTCTGGTTACTGTTGGAGTGTCCATCGGTGATGCTTTAGAAGTCTTTACAGGTTAGCAGTTTAGTTATTTTTGTGTGTGTGTGTGTGTGGACACAGGAAGGGGGGGGCTTTTGAATTTATTAAAAAAAAAAAAGTAAATAAAAATATTTTTCTTGCAGTGGCCTTCATTCTCCCAGTGTAGTAAAGCGCAGGTCACTGCAGTATGTGTGAACAGAGCCTAACACATTTTCTAAAAGCATAGACTCTGCAGTCTCAATTTTTGTCTCATAATTGAGTTACTGTTTATCAAATTTTCAGTAAAAAAAAAAAGTATTCATATTGATTTTAGTGCACACAAGCAAAATATACCCATTTTTTTGTGAAATATAAAAAATGAAGTTGTGTAAAAATAGATGTCAGGCCTCGAAATTGTGTGCGTTTATGAACAAAGAAAAACTGGTACCCCAAAGTTCCTATAGGAAAAATTGTAAAGCCTTTACAGCTCATGAGGTTTGATCTAACAATGAATGCTGGTCCTAGAATTTTTTTCTCTCCCTCTTTCATAAACATGCATACCCAATGCACCCATTTGCATTCATACGTACATGAGGGTAAACTTTAAGGGCCCCTCCACACTATATGTGGTGACTTGCAGTTTTCCACACTGGATGAACACTCATCACACCAGTGTGATATGCAGTGTAGAAAATGGCAGAAAGTCACACTGGTGTGATCTGCAGGGCAGGATAAAGCATTATGCTTGCATTTTCCAGAACTGGATGGATGCATTACATCGGCACACTGCTGTGTGAAGACCTGGCTACATACTGTAAATTGTTGACGCTATTTATGTACCTGTAATAAATAAAAACAAATTTAGGATTTTATTGTATGTTCACTCTGTGATAAAAACCTGACAATTGTTACAATCCCTCTCCACTAAAAGGTTTACCTTTTAGTTATACTTTAACCCCTGATTAATTGCTTGTAATGACTAAACAGACTTAATTAAAGGATAAGTTCACCTTTCCCAACATGTTACACCCTTATTCATACTGTGCAGCAGCCCCTGAGTCCCTGGGCTGGGTGAGCACTCTAGGTAGTTCATTGATTCTTCCTGTCATTCAGTAGCTGCCTGCCTGTATGAGGTACAAGCAGATAGCAAATAATAAATAAATGCACATCTTTTTGCAAATAAAAAAAATGTGCATTTATTTTATTTTTTTTCTTAGCAGCCTATAAATCATTGCACTCATGCTCAGCAGATCACGGGTGCAATGCTTTACAGGCTGCTAAGAAAAAAAAAAATGCTAAATGCACATGATTTTTTTTTAATATGTAAAAAGATGTGCATTTTATTATTTTTTTTTACAAAGGTGAATTTATCCTTTAGCACTTTCCTCTTTCTGTTCTTCTTGGCTAATTTTTGTACCTTTTTTTTTATTCTATATACTGTACTGTCCTTACAAAATTGTTTTGTGTTTTTATTTGTTGGTGGTTTTTTTGTTTTGTTTTTATTGATAAATGGCTGTGCAAGTGTTGTGTGACATTAAAAGCTCCAACATTTAAAAATTCAAAAAACATTAAAATAAGTACATTAGCGATTCTTTTTACTAGAAACATAATTTATTTGGACAAATTGTGAATAAAAGTATTTCTTTTATATCCATGATGTTTTAGTCATCACTGGTCAGACTGAAAAGAAGTATATTTTTATATGTGTGCAAAGTGAGTTTTTTATGTACCTCCTTTTGTGCTATAACTAATGACGTTATTCTCAAATTAATTTAGTCTGCTTCGCTGAACTGAGAATATGGCTCTAGTTAACAGCTCTGGTTCTAGTTCTGATGTTTTCATTTCTCCAATAGGTGCCTCCCAAATGAAAATGGACACCGATGTAAAACGTAACAAGAAGAGCCTTCTAGACCAGCACGGTCAATATCCTGTATGGATGAATTCGAGACAAAAAAAGAAGCTTAAGGCAGAACGTAGTAAAAAGAAAGGAAAGTCAAAACGCCCAAAAGGACTGGCATGGTAGAAACCTAGCCTGTGCTTCCTCTTTGTACTTTCTTACTATACATCTGCTCCTAAACCCGATCAGTTTCACTGGCTGGGTAATCAAGGAGAATGCCCATCATGTGGATAGGAAACAATTCTTTACATTTTTTTTTTTTTTTTTTCCATTTTTGTGAACAACATTCGCTTACAGAAGCTTCTTTCCCTCCTGTAGTATTACTACAGACTGTTTCACATAAATATATACGTTAATTGTGGCCATGGCGTAACTCACTTGGATATTATGGCAATTAGGAGACTGGATTCTTCAGCTTACAGGAAAAATGCTGTAAAATGTATTTCTTTTTATATAAAATTTTAGGTCCTTTTAGTCATGTGACGGTTCTAGGCAAGCTTAAAGTGGTTGCAAAGGCTCAAGGATTTTTACCTTCATGCATTCTTATGGCAATATTTACTGTACATAAAAATATAACATTTGTTATATCTGGAGTTTAGTGGGTTAAAATTAAAAAAAAAAAAAAGGCTATCTAACAGCGAATACCACAAAGTACTTGCTTATATTTCTATATCCCTCTTGTGTTCCTTTTCAGTAGCTAGCTTCACCTAATTCTGAGATCAGACCTCTGAGAGCCATCTACTCCTGCCTAAATTCCAACCATGTATGGGTAGGCTGAATGTACCAAATTGATCGATAAATCAACTTGGGCACAACCAGATTTTACATGTGGTTATTGCTAGCAGCTAGCTATAGCCACTAGCAATAATCACGGTCTCCCCCCCCCCCCCCCCCCCCCAATAATTCCTTCTGATTGGACACACTGTAGGCTACATCTACATGTAAAAGTGTATTTGTAGTCTCTGTAGAATCCCAGAGAAACGCACAAATCAGTGACACCCAGATACGGCCAGATTAAAATAGTTGATTCTGCTGCTGTTATGTTCAACATTAATAGTCCAAGTCTATTTGTATACATCTGCATCGATGTAGAATTGTGTTTTTTTTTTTTTTTTTTTTTTTTAACCAAATCTACTTGTGTTTCAAACCCAAAATACTAAAACCATGTTTTGCTGCAATTTATTTTCCTATGTAATGGTAATTGGAAAGGTTAGCATTTAGAAAGATGGATTAGATTTATCCACAAAGCATAGCAACAGACTATATTAAAGCTCAACTGTGGGCAGATTGCTAAATACACCGGAAGTGCACACACCTGAAGATTTGTATCTGTCAAAGAATGTGTAATTATGTCTAGCCAGTTTTTTTATTCATAGTCCTCTGGGAAATAGTATAGCAAGGAGGGGGACACTGCTTTCTTTTGTGAGTGAAAGAAGTACAGTGGTGTTACCTTACTACCGACAAGCTGCTGATTGGACAGTGAAGGATAGCAGTACTCTGGTAAGTCTATAAGGAAATAGATGCTGCTCTACCGACCCAAGGGGTTTATTTTACTAAAGCTGGAGAGTCCAAAATCAGACTCCCTTCTGCATAGGAACCAATCAGCTTCTAACCTCAGCTTGTTCAATGAAGCTTTGGCAATGAAACCTGGAAGCTGATTGGTTTCTATGCAGAAGTGAGTGTGATTTTGCACTCTCCAGCTTTAGTAAATAAACCCCAAGGAGTCAGATGTAAGAGACGTCTGTGATCAAGCCTGGTGGGCAGGAAATGCGTCAGAGGGCATGGCTGGAGCAGTGGCTAAGGCCACCCCTTATATCTGACTCCTTGGTTTGGTAAAACGGTGTCTATATCCTTATTGAATTTGCTGATGCGGAAACCGCTTTTGTGTGCTGCTATCCCTCTCTCTGCCAGTGGGGTGACTCCTTCCTATCTCTATGTTGGAGCATTCTAAGGTATCTTTGTTGTTATGCACTCTGGTAAGTCTACAGGTTTGCCATCTTTCTGTCAATGTGTGCTTGTAGCATAACATAGTTATGCTACCAACCCCCCACCCCCTTTTCCGCACTGGGTTGCAGGTTGCTGAAGGCTTATACCAATTAAGATTTAAGTACTTATACTAGCTGTATCACAAAATACATTTAATGTCTTGCTGTCCGCATATAACATATATACAGATGAAGGGTGGGTGGTCTTAACACCTACCCATTACACGATGCTTCCATGGGGCGCCAAGGTTCTGTGCAGACAGCCCACTCACTCGCCAAGCTGTCATTGGTTTTAGACAGGCTCCTGATCAGGTGATCGCTGGCAGCAAATTTCAAAGGTCATGTAATTGGGAAGCCACCTCCTCACGTTAACACCCAAATATAGGGCTACTCGGAGGTGGCAAGAGGGGTTCATTATATTAAACCCCTTGGCGCCGAGGGTACGCAAATATTGCCGCCTCTTGGCCTTGACGCTCAATGGCCATATATTTGCGTGCAATTAGAAAATACATATGTGCTGAGAGCGTAAGTGCTTCCAGCACATATGTCCGTGACTCACGGAAAGGTTCTGATTTCCCCTTTCGATCGGGACCTTTTCCGATCATGTGACGGCGAATCACAGTGGTGACATGACCCTAAAACCCTGCCCACCTCCAGGATTCTGAAACTTAAAGGGCTGGGAGGCGCTGGCACAAAGTAGTTAAGTAATACACAGCTCCATAAAAATGTCTTTCATCCACCTGGAGTTCAGCTTTAAATCAGCTTAGCAAAACCAAATGTGTTTTCACAATGGTAATCAAAATAGTCTTTTTCAAAGTTTTTTGTCTTTTGTGGATCCCCCCCCTTAAACACATATATTATCGAACATGCAGGAGAACTGAGAAACATCAGAGTGCTGCTTGTGTTGTAGCCAGAGCTGGAGATCACAGGATGTGTTCCATTTTTTTGTGTTTATTATTAATAGTACTGTCCCCACACTTCTAACACTTCCCTGTCCCTTCTAATACAGATGCTGTGTTTGTTTGAATTTGGCTTATATTTTACTGTTGCTTCAGTTGCCGAAGTAGTCTGCAGTATGTTGCACAGACGTTTAAGTCTTTCATCACATTAAATGGTATCCACGTGTGAAGCAACACCTGCAACCTTTTACATTTTGTTTAAACCATATGATATTTTTAATGTATATGTTATAGTGCCAGTCTAGCGGGGCTTCAGTCTATTGATTTTTATTGTATTGCTCTTCGTACAAGGCTGCACAAATACCACACAAGTTACTGGCTCACCACAACAGATCTACAGAATGTGTACATATGCCTGCTTTCCTATCGTAGCACTGCTTTTGCTATGTAAGACTCCAATGATTTGATTGTCTTCATGTTGGGATGACCAGAAGAGCTTACATTCCTGGGACAGTCCCTGGGTGAAGGGCAGCAAATTGCCATTGACTTTATTGCAGCAGTCTAATGCAGGAAAGCTGTGCTTGTGTACATGAGCCTTAATGCTGCGAAATTGATGCCTGAAGCCTTTTCTCCTTCCCCCACTAAGTATGGGGGCTCTTCCTGCTGATCCCTAGGTCTCTACAGCAGGGGTCAGCAACCTGTAGATCATGATCTACCAGTAGCTAATGGGCAGGTGATTGGTAGCTCACTGTCTAAGCTTGCTGATCCACCACCCCGGAGCATCAAACAGAATGCAATGTAGAGGGACTACTTGTAAAGTTGGAGCTGTAGTAGGGAGCAAAAGCCGCATAAGCTGATGCCTCCTCTGTAGTGCTGGCTCCTGTCCATTGTGGAGTGTACCAACTGCCCCCCACTTCTTGCCCCGGCTAGCGGTTTCCTGAGTGGTGCCAGCAGCAGGAAAGAAGAGTTCTTCAGTTCAGTGTGAAGCAATGCACTGGGCATAATAGTATAGGGCTGTTTTCGCATGAATTTTCTGTACTTAGCCATAGACTTCTATTATATCCTGCGGGTTTTTGCACTTTTTGAAAGTGTAGCAAAACTCCTGATTGCAGGAGCTTTGGTACGCTTTCAGAAAATGCACCACATCTGCTGGATATAATAATTGTCTATGGCAAAGTGCAGCTAAACAAGGAAAGTCCCAGATGCACTGCACCTGCAGTGCAGGTAAACTGCAGCACATCAATGTAAAAGCAGGTGTATAAGGGGCTCACAACAGTAAGGGTTCATTTACAGTTGCAGTTTGGGGGGTAGTAAAACCCCATAGTTAAGACATGTTTTTACCACCCCTGCCACAACTGCACCTCCTTAGCTGCAGTGCCAGAGGTATCTGCAGCAGGAGTTATACATCCTGTCATGGTTGGAGTGTGTACTCATTCAAGTGAATGAGGCCGCAACCAAGGGGTTAAAGCAAGCAGAATTGTGTTGCTTTCTCACCACCTGTTTTAACCCCTTGGAACCCGCAGAAGCATACACTTGCAGAGTGGCCCCATTTACTTGAATGCATCACAATTGGCAGGGGGGTTGCATCCACGAAAAGCAACAGAGGGTTTAATTCTTGCTGCGGCATGTGTACATCTTTGGTCGCTGCCTCAGCAGCTAAATGGGGTAGGGATTGGGGGTGCTAAAAACCTGTGATTCAACTGTAGGGTTTTACCACCCTCCAACCTAACGTGTATGAGCCGTACGGGTGCCATTGCCGCATGCAACTAAGGGCTCATTCACAAGTGCAGCAGCCACTGCTGCTGCTCTGAAAAGTGATCTGAGTGTGTTTGACAAGTAAGTGAGCAAGCTCTATGTTGCCTCCTCACCACTCGCTTTAAACCCATGATTGCCGTGCAATGCACATGATTGTGACATGGTAGTACGGCAGTTTGAGCTTTAAATCAGGTGTGAGGAGATTACACTGTGCCTGGTGATCTTTGACTTCTCTCATGTTGTTTAGGTAGATCTCCACTTCTTTAAGGTTGCCTACCCCTGATATACAATGCCAGTTTCTAAAGAGTCTTTAGGTGGCAATTTTTCTCCAATACAGCAGTGGGAGAGGTATTCACTTTAACAATGCATAGATCACCACATTCTACCTGAATAGCAGCAATCATCAGGTGCCTGCATGCTTACTCTGGTCCATAACAGAGTGTCTGGCCAAGCGAAAGCCCAAGATGGCCTGCAACACACTGCCTAA